TGTTATTCCATATCTTGAATCAATTAACACATTCAAAAGAAAAACAATTGGGAAGAAAGTTGCAGTAGTTGGAGCTGGATTTTCTGCTATGGATGCTGTTAGAGTTGCAAGAAGACTTGGAAGTGAAGCATTTATTATTTATAGAAGATCAGAACATGAGATGCCAGCTTCATCATCAGAAATAGAAGAAGCAAAGGAAGAAGGAGTTACTATGATGACATTGTGTAATCCAACTAAAATTATTGGAGATGAGAATGGAAAAGTTAAAGGAATTGAATGTATTAAAATGAAATTAGGAGAGCCAGATGCATCTGGAAGAGCTGCACCAGTTCCAATTCCAGGCAGTGAATTTGTTATTGACTGTGATATGGTTATTCAAGCCATTTCACAAGTTGTAGATTTAGGGTGTTGTCCTGGAGTGGAACTAACTCAATATGGTACATTAAAAGTAGATGAAAATTATAAAACAAGCATTAATGGTTTATATGCAGCTGGGGATTGTATTACTGGTCCAAAATCAATTGTTGATGCAGTTGGTGATGCACATAGAGCTTCAAATGCCATTCATGAATATTTAACAAATTTGACGATAACCCCAATGGAACAAGATTAATTAAATTAATTTGTGTTATAAAAATTTATTTTGTTAAAAAATAGAATGACGTCTAAAAAATAGAAAAGGGTTTATTTCAAGAAAAAGTCCAAAAAAAAAAAGAATTTAAAAAAGAAAAAGATGAAGAAAAAATAGAAAGAATATATCATGTCTCAAACACCAATCTCGACTCCAAAGAAAAGAAGTCCATGTGAAATGGTAAAGCCTAATATAATTAAAAGAAGACAGTCAAATATTAAAACTGAGAACTTTTACAATGAAAGGCTATCATGTGATTGTGAAACAATTACTAAAACAATAGAGTTTCAGAGGCTTAGAAGAATCAAACAACTAGGAACTGCACATTATGTATTTCCTTCTGGTACTCATACGAGATATGAACATTCTTTAGGTGTTGCTCAATTGGCAAATAAAATGGTTCGTGAGCTCAATATAAAACAATGCCAAAAAGAAGAGGTAGACAAAAATGATTATGTCACTTCACAAGATGCAAAACTTATTGAAATTGCTGGACTCTGCCATGACCTAGGACATGGACCTTTTAGTCATTTATATGAAAGACTAATGAAGGCAAGGAACATTCATTTTAATCATGAAGAACAGTCAGCTAAAATTTTTCACCGTATAGTTGATCAAAACCAAATTGATTTAACTGAAGAAGAAATTAAAATAGTTAAATCACTTATTACTAATGAAGGAGATTGTGACAAATCTTGGAGAAGACAAATCATTAGTAATGAAGAAAATGGTATTGATGTAGATAGATTAGATTATCTTAGAAGAGATTCACATCATCTTAATTTACCACTTCATTTTAAAGTTCAAGAAATTATCCAAAATTGTGCTATAGTAAATAACAATATTTGTTATTTCAGAGAAATTAAAAGTGATATTGCATCATTTTTTACTAATAGGTATAGTTTATATAGTGATGTCTATTTGAATGATGATGCTACTTCTGTTGAATTGATGTTTACTGATTTATTGGCTGAATCATATAATTATATTCCATTATTACAGTCTGACCCAAATGACTTAGATAAATTTATTCAATTAGATGATGGTATAGTTGACCAAATTAGATTTACTGAAAAGCCAGAGTTACAGAAGGCTAAAGCTATTCTTCATAGAGTCGAGCGAGGTGATTTTTATCAAATTGTTTCAAAAATTACTCAAACTGAAGAAAATAAACCTTTATTAAATGACTTAACTCCAGAACAAATTTGTTGTGCTGCTTCAAACCTAAGACCTGAAGACATAATTGTTGATAACCAAAGTATTGTTTTAGCTCGTGAATATAATTGGAATAAAATTCCATTTATTGAAAGTAGTGATTCAAAAGAATTTTGTTACTTAACCCCTCCAACCCTTTATCCTACTGAAACTAAAACCCAATTTAAACGGGTTTATGCAAGAGACAGAAATAAAGTTGATGAAATTAAAAAAGCTGTCAATGCATTCTTTAATCACAACCAACTTCATCCATCAATTTTGATGGAGTAACTTTGTTATTTTAAATAAAAATCGTCTTTAACTGTTTTTCATTTTTATGATTGTCTTGTTACCTTCTTTTTTATATCTTTTCTTTGTTTTAAAGGTTAGGCATATATTCTTTTTTTATATTTATCTCTACAGTCTTTGTTGGAAGGATTTGAATGTCAAAAACCAATTAGCTAAGTATCATTTCAATTGAAGTTATTATGAGCTATTGCATTAACTTCCTTAAATCAAACTTTAACCATACCATTTCATTCCCTTTACAACAACAA